AAAAAAAAAAATAATAATAATGACATATGGTGGGACCAGCAGGTGCTGTGGTGGTTGGGATGTTGGACTCCTCCCACATGGCTGACTATGGTTTCAGTCCCAGACGTGGGAGCTTGAGAGTCATGCTGTGTGTGTGTATGTGTGTGTGCGCACACGCACGCATGCATGCACCTAAAATTCTGAGAAGAGACTGGAGGAGAAGGGATTATGATGTGGCCAGCTCCTCTGGGGAGTGATTTCTCATTGTTTCGCTTTCTGTCTCTCTGACCAGCGCACATGCCCTATGGCAAAAAGAAAAAGAAAAATAGATTTAAGTCAAGCGTACATGTAACCACTAAAAATAAAAAAACAATAATGACTTAAGGTTTGGTTCAGTAGCCTGGTGGTTAAGGCAGCTAGATCCCACATAGCTGACCCCACAGTCTGAGTCCTAGCTTGGGAGACATGGCCATATGTGCATGTGTGTATGCATGCCGAAAGGAAGAAGTAGAGGAGAAGGGATCGTGGTGTGACCATTGCCTATAAGGGGTTGCTTTCTCCTCTCCCTCTGTATCTCCCCATCTCTCTCTGGTGAGCACACTCACCCTATAGTATAAAAAAAAAAATAATGACGTAGAATTAGGTACAGTATGTATGTGTTAAGGAAACATATTAAACATTTAAATTAGATTATTTTTAAATTGAATTTTATTTATTATTATTAGTTTTTAATTTGACCAGAGAGAGAGAGGGAAAGTGAGAAAGTAAGCCACCAGGTTCGGGATAAAAGGTCCAGCAAGATGAAAGATCTTTTCTTGTTGGCGGGAACCAGAGAAGAGAACTACATTCAGCCATGTGGGAGTCCAGTACCTTAACCACCATACCACCTACCAGCCCCGAGATTCATTCTTTTTTGGGGAGAGATTTTTGCTATAAGGTGCTTGTGCTTCCTGGAGAGACAGAGAGAGGCAAAGTGAGAAATCACCTCTTGGGAGGATAGCCATGCCACAATCCCTTCTCCTCCATTCCCCTCTTGGGATTTTGAGCACGTACACAAGAACACGCAATTGGCATGATTTTCAAACTGCTGGGTCCAGGATTCAAACCGTGGTTGGCCTTGTGGGAGTCCAACACTTTAACTACTATATGACCGACAGCCCCCTCCCCAAGACTATTTCTTTTTTTAAAAGAATTATTTTTATTTAACTTTATTATTTATTTAGAGGGACAGAGTGAGAGAGAGAGGGAAGGTGAGAGAGCAAGCCTCCAGGTCTGGGACCCAAACCATGTGGTCGGCCATGTGGGAGTCTAGTGTTCTTAACAGCCATGCCACCTGCTGGCTCCCTGAGATTATTTCTTTTTTCTTTTTAAAATAATTATTTATTTATTTAACTCCATTTATTGTTGTTATTTTTTAAAATTTCACCAGAGAGAGAGAGAGAAAAGCAAAGTGAGAAAGCAAGCTATCAGATCTAGGAATCGAACTGTGGTTGGCCATATGGGAATCTAGGACCTTTAACTACCCCACCACCTGCTGGCCCCCCTTAGATTATTTCTTAACAGACGCCTATCCATCCATTCTGTTCTCTAAAAAATAAAACATGAATTCTTGGGGTTAGTGGCCTAGTGCTTGAGGGAGCTGCATCCCACAAGACTGACTGACAGGTTCTAATCTCGGTTTCAGCAGCTTGAAAAACATGCCAGGTGCATGTGTGTAGTGCTGAAATCCCAACAAGGTGAAGAACTGGAGGAGAAGGGATTGAGGCTTGACCATGCCCTATTGGGGGGATGCTTTTTCGTTTGGTCTCTGTCTCTCTCTGGTCAAGGCATGCACTCTCTGGCATAAAAACAGACAAAAACATGAATTCTTTTTTTTTTTTTTTGCTCCTGCCCTCTCCCTCCCTCCCCTCCTCAAACATAAATTCTTTTAACTATTATCCTCACCAAAGTAAGGAAACATCATTCCTTGCATGAGTGGTTATTGATTAATGCAGAACATTGATGCAATCTCTCTGGAATGATCTCCCACTCTACCTCCTTCTTTGTTTGTTTTAGAGACAGGGTTTAACTATGTTGTCTAGGCTAGGCACAATGCTGTTTCAGCCTCCCTGAGTCTCTGGGATTACAGGCTCAAACCACTGTGCCTGACTGCTCCACTTTTGAGTTTTACCATTCCAGATCATCTGGGGATGGCCACAGTGCAATCCCTTCTCTTTCATTATCCTCTCGGGATTTGGGGCATGCTCGCACACACGCCTGGTGTGCTTTTCAAGCCATGGTTCCAGGACTCAAACCATGGAATCTGCCATGTGGGAACAAGAGCCTTAACCACCAAGCCCCTGCCCTCAAAAGGATATCTCTAAATCCTACAACCCTAGAAGTTTACATTTCAGCAAAAGCAAGATAAAAGATCTTTTCTTGTTGGTGGGAGCAAGAAAAGGGAACTGATTGTGCAGTCAGAGGAAGAGCTAGATGGTTAGGGGTTCAGAACAGATTTACACATAGTAGGTGAATATTTACTTACTCAATAAATAGATAAGGGGATGGGCCAACAGGTGGTGTGGTGGTAAAGGGTGCTGGATACCCCCATAGTTGACTGTGGTTCAAATCCTGGACCTGGCAGCTTGC